TTTTTTTTTTTTTTGCGGTACCAGGGATTGAACTCAGGATCTTGCACTTGCCAGGCAAGTGCTTATTCTGCTGAGCTATCTCCCTGGCCCTCTTGTTCTTAGTATAATGAAATTAGCTAGGTATGGCAGTTGAATAATGCCATGAATACACTAAGAATTACTGCAATATACACTATAAATGCTAAAATGGTACATTTTAACTTAATTGAGAAAAACGCAAGGAATGAAAACATTTTAAAACTTCTAGTTAGGGTTTTACACAAATCTTGGTAATACTTCCTCTGATAAAGGATATCAGAACAGTGGTTACTGAAGCTTGAGGATGCTGACTAGAAAGAGGTATGAAGAGTCTTTCAGGGCTGGGAATGTTCTGAGTGATGATTATCTATCTTATTCTTGTGCATTTTCCTATATGTACATTGTACCTCAAAACTTTTTTGAGATAGCATCCTGTATTGCCACACTACCCTTAAATTCATGACCATCCTGCTTTAGCCTCCCCAGTATATAGTATTATAGACATGTGCCACCACACCCAGCTATCTCAAAACATTTTCCTTTAAAGTGAAAACTTAAAGGCAGGAAAGGGGCCCTTAATTGCAAGCACTATGGGAAACTTAGTGAGACTCTGTCTCTAAATATAAACACACACACACACACACACACACACACACACACACACACAATTAGTCACATGTTGGGGGCCAGGGAGATGGAACCAATCCCTGGTTCCACCAAAAAAATAAAAAAAATAAAAAAAAAAAAAGGGCTGGGGATGAAGTTCAGTGTAAGGGTGCTGGGTTGGACTTCAAGTACTATGCCACCAACAAAGCAAAATAGGGAAGCGCTTAGCCCAGGCTCTTTATTTTTATTTTTTTGCGGAATTGGGGATTGAACTCAGACCCTTGCGTTTGCCAGGGAAGCGCTTATTCCACTGAGCCATCTCCCCAGCCCCAACAAAGCAAAACAAACACTTAAAATAAGTATTACATTTTGGTGGCTAAAACCTATGGGGGGGGGGGCGCTGGGGAGATAGAGTAAGTGCTCAGTAGAGTAAGTGCCTGTTTGGCAAGTGCAAGGTTCTGCATTCAATCCCCTGCGCTGCAAAAATAAATAAATAAATAAATAAAGTAAGTAAGTAAGTAAGTAAGTTATATTAAAAAAATAAAACCTATCTAGAGGATAGGGATACAGTTTAGTGGTTGAGTCTGATCCCCAGCACCACTATACTCAGATAATAATAAAATCAAGGGCCGGGGAGATAGCTCAGTAGAATAAGCGTCTGCCTGGCAAGCATAAGGTCCTGAGTTCAATCCCTGGTACCACACACACACACACACACACACACACACACACACACGAATCAAAACTTATTGGGTCACATAGCTCTTTGTAGAGAATTATTTTATCTCATGCCACATAAATACACTAAGCAAAAACTAAGATCTTTCTAGTGAAATTGAGGAGGAAAATATCACTCTTACTTGTGAGTTGGGGTCATAATAGAGTCCTGTTGTTGGATCATAATAATATCCTGAAGATTCATCATACTGGTAAGTGGATGTGTCTGGTACCGCTGCAAATACAAAATCCAGCAGTCATTCCAGATAAGAAAATGGCTTTATTTTTAATTCTAAGCCAATGAGACACAGCAGGCCTTAATGTTTTTTCTCTTTATCCCCAAGCCTCTGTCATCCATAAAGGCAGAACTTTTATTAAACAAAAACAGCAACTAGAACTTTCTAACTGTCAGCAGCCCATAAAGTTTAGCTTACCATATTTGTTACCAGGAACTACACCAGTGGGGGAAGCAGCTGGGGCCTGTGTACTTGTGCTAGTGCTAGGCTGTGCTTCCTCAGTCTGGAAAGAACAGCAGCTTCAATATAATTTCAAATGTAAAGTCTTTTAAGAAAACTGAATCACTGTAATCATCCAGGAGGAAGGGATCCCCTGACAGACACACCACAGCAAGGATCCAAAGCAATCCTTCAGCAAAACATAAGCTGACAACTTTAAAGGTCAAGCTGAAGCATGCAAAGTTTAAATATATCCTGTTTGTAATTTTATATTGGAAGAGACACATAGTAAAATTTCATTAATACAATGAAACAAAAAGTAGGTTGCAAAGTGTTCTATTCAGCTCAAGTTCATACACCATGAAAAGTACTTGTAGAGCCAACACAAAATTTCCCCAACAATCACAAATAAGAGGACAGAATTACCGGAGAGCCAGGTGGATTGGAGGTCTGATTATATAGCTGGGGACTCTGGGACACTACAGCTGCAGAGGTGGTGGTCACTGCTGCACAGATGATAAACACGGGTTAAGCAGAGCTAAGTCACTGAACCCCAAAAGAGAAGTGCAATGTCCAATTTAATCATTTTTAGGGAATGATTAGATTTCATCAAATCTAACCTAGATTTGAACCGTGTGCCTTGCATTTATCACTGAGCTACATCCCCAGCCTTTTATTTATTTATTTGTTTGAAACATTTATTTATTTATTTTGTGTGTGGCCAGCTCAGCCCACCAGGTGGCGGGGCTGGCTGGCATGTGGTGATGGGGGATTGAACAGCGGTCCTTGTGCTTTGCTTAGCTT